CTTCACCTAAGTCCTAAATATTTCTGTTATTCTTGACCAATAACTGAAACTTTCTGTCTTTTGTGCAAACTTTTTAACCTTCCTCAAATGTAGTATTATAACAGTTTTATGTAATTGATTCTTTAAATGTACCTATTTTCTTTGTTCAATCTAGTGTCTTGCCACTCTTAGTTTTTGTGTTCGAGTTCATTTATTTGGCTTGCTTTGAAAACAGTCTATTTGTAGTGTTCTGCAGTTTTAGTCTGATGTATCTATATTTTTATAAAATCATGTTTTGAACTGAATCTTATTATTAGTGTCTTTCATTAATTTTGGGAACATGATTTGCTTTTTTCTCTTTAGATTGTGCTTTCACTAATTTCTGTTTTCTGTATTTAAATACTTTCAATGAAATGTAGTTGGATTTTTTCTCTTTCCACTTTGTATGTCTTTTTCATTTTTTCTATATTATTAATTTGTTGTGCTCAATTCTAGATATTTCATCTCTTTCTTGTTGTTTACTAATTCTCCTTGCAGTAGCATCAGTTCTGTATTTTAACCTGACTACTGAATTTTAAACTTCTAATTTCATTTTTAAAGGATAGTGTTTTGTTCTGTTCTATTTGTAAAAGGCTTTTAACTTATTAGTCAGTTAAAAACATAGTTTACTAGATAATTTTATAACCTGAAGTTCTTTGTGGCATAATTCAGCTATTATTTTTTCTCCGGTTGCTTCTCACTTTGGTGTAGATTATTTCCTCAAGTGTTTTGTAAATTTGTGTGAAAGTTAAATGTCTAGTGATTTTATTTATGAAAATCTTGTGTGCCTGAGCTGAAGATGTGTATATTTAAAGCATTATTTCCTCTAACTAAACTTATTTTAATTATTTGGCCTAGCTTCTTATATCAAGGTAGAATTGTAATTCAGACACAAGCCCAAAAATAGTCTGCTGCATGTTTAAAAATTGTTTTTGTATCTCAAATCCGGGATATGTTTCTTAGTCATCCCACAGTGCTAGTGAATGATTACTTTGTAGATCAAGGTTCACTAATACTACATTGTGTTTGTATTGCCTGTATGATATTCTCTACATCTAACAACACAGAGAAAATGACAGTTTTCCACATAGAGATCATCATATTTGTGTAGGATAATGGGGTGGAGGATATTTGGAAGATGATTATATAAGCCTCAGTGAAAAACAATAATATATAACTTTTTAAAAATTATCAGGTGTCCAAAGTCAAATGCTACATTTATTTTTTAAATCTTTAACAGAATTTTGAGACACCTGAATTTATTTCTATGATCATTTTCATGTGCGATTTTACTTGAAATGGATATATGTAGTCCCTGATCAAGACTTTTCAATGATGATCACTTCAAAGCCATTAATGTCACCATCAATGAGGACTGTAATGATAAAAATTCAAAACTATTCATGTATTTGAACTATTCAGAATTACACTTAAAACATCTAACAGCTCTCTTTGCTTTCAAATGTAATTGTAATACTGAAATTTCTTATGAAAATCAAATGACTTTCAAATTTAATCAAAGTTTTAGGAAAACATTTTAAAATAATAAAATATATTAAAACAATCAAAGTTTTAATTTACAAAATGTGTATGTATATTTAAACAGTCTGTATAATTACCTTTAACAAGAACAAATGGGAAATGTACTCATTGGTGGACAAAAGTAATAGATATATGGCAAGAGAGAATCAAGGTCAATGCCTGATCCTGCAAAAAGGCTCTACACCATACCTTTATTCCCATTCCATCACGTGGAATGGAACTTACAGTCCTGCAATAGCACCATCAGCTTCTTGGTCAGAACAGTCAATGCTTCAGCCCTTATACGTGGTTGTGTTAGGGGATATAATTCACTCTTGGCCTCTCAGTGTGCCACAGATCACTGTTTACAGAGCTTTGATCTAGGATATCACATCGCTGAAGCAGGAATCATAGACTGAATATTGAAATTTAAATCTAGTTTTATTGAAGATAGGAATAGTCTTAATAAATATTGAGTACCTATTCCAAGTTAGGTGAAATATACCAGGTAATGTACTTATATAATCTCACGAATTTTCATAACAACTTTCTTAGGATACTTTTGCCATCCTAGTTTTGGATGTAAACAATCTGTGTCAAAAATTATTTTTCATAAGTTTATTGAACCTGTGGGTAACTGGGTTTCCATTCCAGGTGTATCTAGATCGAAATTCCGTGATCTTATTTTTTTGGTTCAAATTCTACTTCTGCTATGTATTTGTTATATGATTTTAATTTCCTTAATCTCAATATCTCTTATTTCATCAATAAGAAGTAACAGTTTCTACCTCAAAAAGTTTATGTGTGTATATGTATCCTGAAAATTAGTTAATGCATCAAATATTAGAGTCTTTAGAATAGGGGCCTAAGCATAAGTAAGTTTTGAAAAGCTGTCCAGGCGCTTCTAATCTACAATCAGGATTTTTCTAATGTACAATATACTGGAAGGAATGAAATGCTTAACTCAGAATTTGGTACATAGTAAGTGCTCAGAAATTATTAGTTGTTACTGTAATTGATTTTATTACCATTACCTAAAGATGTAGGTTTCTGTTATGCAATTTGAGTGAATAAGTGATGGTTAAGTGTAAAATGTGACAAGGTGGGATGTGTTACACTGCCTACTTCCAAATATCTTGGATCCTTATCACATGCTGCCTTGTTAAATGGCTAGAACAGCAGCAACAACAGCAAAAAAATTCTACAGAGAATAATAAGAGATGGTGTTATTTTTTGGATATACCATTATGTCATACAGTAAGCATGATCTTTGTGGTAAGGACATCTAATATTAAAGTACTAATTAACAGTTTAGGGATTTGGGAAGGGCAAGACAGTTAGCCTTTATAAGCTTCACTTTCCTTATTGTCTAAAAATTTGGACAAAATAAATAGCTGTGTAATGAAGCATCCAAATGATATAACCAACTTAAAATACCTGAGAAATTTTCTAGGTTATGTAGTAGCATGTTAATAATCAATAAAGTTTTTACTTTATGCGCCATTTCTTTCCTTTAGCTTCACATATAGTTCATTGCTTTATTAGCTTTCTTCCTCTATTTCAATAATTTATATCCATAAAGTATGACATGGCCTCCAGGTTTACTGTAAATGGATATGACACCTGGAATCTCAGAAGAAAGGAGGAATATATCCTGTTAGGTTCAAAGGCCATCTGTCCCTTCATATTGATTTTCTTAAATCAGACAGCAGCCAAGACCTTGGAAGAAGTAATTGAACTGACAACCAGCAGACCTAGGTTGTTAATAATGGAACAGCCTTGGACGTTCTTGATAATTTAATTTAGTGACAAAAAGGAGTTCTGAGACTGAAGTGCCTGAAGTTGGGGTCAGTGGTTAGGTCTCTGAGGGGAAAGGAAAACATAAATTATTCCTAAGAGTTTATTCCATGAATAGAGCATTTTATGATCATCCCAAACAGAAGGCAAGAGGAAATGGTTTTGATTTATCTCTTTTTAACAAAACAAAAACGCGAACAGTAAAAAAAAAAAATACTATTATATTTCTTTATTTTGCCCTTACTTCAGAAAGAAAATAGAGGTGAATAAAATTATGGAATTTTGGAAACTTAGTGAACAACTCAAGGGTAAAAAATATGGCTATCTCATCCTTTTATCTCTTGGGTGGAAATATCCATTCTGTCATTTACCAGTTCATGGCATTGAGCCAGTTAGGTAACATTTTGACCCTCATTTTCCACATCTGCAAAATGGCCTTGTTAATACAGTATTTTTCTAGTTATAGGAGAATGTTTAAGATTTTTTAAAAAAGTGTATAAAATCTCTTTCACTTGACACAATAAATTTTGTTGACTAAAATTATAAATGACTTTTGATGCTTCTGTATCTTTCACTGCCTCTGTTTTGAAAAACTAATTTATCGCGATCTCTTAAAATCATTTCATTTCTTTAGCTGTTCTAGCTGACTTAAATTTAGTCCTTATTTATCCTTTGCATTATTTCAGTGAACTTTAGCATCTTTCAGTCAATTTCCTTTTCCTTAACAATCTCTCCTCCTCCTATGACAAGTATTACTAAAAGACTCTGGTATTTTTATATATAGTACTCTCCAGGAAAGAATTTAGACACCTAGAACATACTACTCTCCCATTTTAAGGGGAAGAAATTTACCCCAGCACAATGGATCTGTAAATTCATGTTGAGATTATGATTAAGTCCATTTCTCCTATCCCATAGCAGAGGATAATGAAATGGTTGCCGAAGAGAACATTCCAGATTTTGCCAAAGGATTCGAAATAATTAGAGAATTTATAAATTGTAATTTTGCACTCTTATTATCTTTCTATTTATTTATTTATTTATTTATTTATTTATTTATTTATTTATTTATTTATTTATTTATTTATTTATTTAATTGGTACCGGGGATTGAACTTGGGTCCTTTCTCTTGTGAGGCAGGCGCTGGAACCACTGAGCTAAATCTCAGCCCTCATTTTATTTTTGAAAAAAACTACTGTTGGTACTCTAGTGATCATATTATTTATTTCTGTTTAGATTCTAAGTCAATCCAGAGAGAATGAGAGAGAGAGAGAGAGAGAGAGAGAGAGAGCGAGCAAATAATAACAGCTAAAACTTGTATAGGATATTCCATTACCAAATGAGATTCTAAACACTGTACATACTTCCTGTCAGAACACCATGAACTAGGTACTGTTATTATTGCTATTTATCAAAGCAGGACAGTGAGACATAGAGATGTGTAGCAGCTTGACAAGGTCATAGAACTCTACAGAGTGATAGAATTGGAATTGATACTCAGACTAGCTTCCCGGTTCCATGATGCCAAAGCTAATTGATTTGCAGAGAGTTATCCTAATTAGAAATACAACAATCTAATCTCTAAACACCTGTGATTACCTGGCATTGAAACTTATCAAATATATATGAGCACTATTTTCCTTACTATACTATTGGTCACTTACCTACGTTATAGGAAATTGGAAACTTACGCAGCTTGGTCTTCTGATGATCTTCTCTCTCTCTCTCTCTCTTCCAGAGGGTTATTTTCAACATTGTTAATTTCAGTAAAACCAAGAGTCTTTATAGAGATGGGATGGCTCCTATGGTGAAATCTACCAGCAGACCAAAATGGTAAGTGACCTACAGAATGGAACCCTTTTCTAGTTAAACATTAAACTCAGGGCTCAAGTTTATCTTTTATATGAGAGGGGCTCAGCCTCACCATCAGTGAACAGATACAAATAAAATGTATTTGTGGATGGTCATTGCCTGTGGTCTAGATACTGTTCTTTGAGATGGGTACCATGACTCTATACTTGGAATGACCAACATTCTATCATTTGGGAAGGTACAATCTGATATTTGGTGAATTATTCCCTGTTGCCTTTAATTGCCCTATTTTGTAAGCATAGAGGTTGTTTTCCTTTTTTTTTCTAGTCTACACATAGATGATATATAGTAGCCTAGGAGGACATTGGGAAGTACAGTTTAGTAGATTTCTCTTGTTTTGTTTAGTTTTAATGGTATTTTTGCATAGATACATCTCTGTATAGATGTTAAAATTCTTTTTTTTTCTATCACTAGAGTGAGGAGTAGGGGAGTTAGGTAGGATTGCTTAATAAGCATGATGATGTGATGGTAACAGTAATAAGTCCTCCACTTACTGAGACTTTCTTCTTTATCTGATGTTTTACTTTTGCTCTTACTACGTATATACTTTTGCAAGTGAGATTTTAAATATCATTAACCAGTATTGTAGATGAAAAACTTGAAGCTAGGTAAGGTACTTTCTGAAGAACACAGGCAAGGGTAAGGGGAGGAGCCTGTGTTTTTTACATTACCTTGTAATACTTTTACAGCCAACTAATCCATCAATCCATTCATTTTTTTCATTCAACACTTACTGAGTACAACAAAAACTGAAAAATTTTGAAGAGAGAAGCCAACATTATTTATCTATCACACAGTAGGTGTTAAGTGAATGCTTACTGAACTGAACTGAATTCATTATGAGAATTTATACACAAAGTTCCTGGTACTTCCTAAGTGCCCAATAAATGTCATCTATTATTAATACTTTTATGTAAAACACTATATGAATGCAAATGATTGTTAATATTATTCTAGCTTTGATCCTTGATCAAATTTTAATGACTAGTGAGAAGATAGTCTTCAAATGCCTATATTTATAGAAAACTAGCAATTCATAAATATTGAATTGTGCTTTTATGTATAAATGATACTTGGCAATTTTCTATAAATGCTAGACTGAGAAGTTCAGGTTTATAAAAGTGTAGGTATTTGATGATGATAATGAAAACTGTTTATTAAAAGATAAAAATATCTCCCAGGCATATTTTTTGCTTTGCTGCATCAACTCAACTAAATTGCTGCAACTTCTCTCAATCTCTTTCTGACAGCGGGGTCTAGCAAGTGATAGTTCTTTGCTTTGAGTCTCTTAACCTAGTGCAAGTAGGTAATAGAACCTTTGTCTCTGTTAATAGGCATATTATAGATAAGTATTTAAAACCAGTAAAAGAACATTGCTCTTGATTTGTTCATTAGACCCTTTAAAATAACATTTCATATTTTTTCCAAGTTGGGTGTTGTAATCTTATACATCAATAGTAATTACCATCCCCTTTTCTAAAGCATTAGTTCTCCTTTTCCAAAATGTTAGTTCCTTTACTCTTTCTCCCTCCCCCTGTCTCCTGCTTTAAAAATCTTCAAGCAGTAACTGTTTCATTTTATTCTTTTTGTTCCCTTACAGACTATCAGTTAGGTCCTCTTTGTCAGGGAACCTGACAAGATGTTGAAATATTAATGAGCTCTTGCGTTTGTATTATAATAACTTAGAATTAACTTAGTGCTCATATCCAATGTTGGCAGACTTTCAGCAACAACCATTAACCAGTCATTGAGCTTCTCTAATAGTCTGAAACAGCCTAATGTTTTAGAACTGAGTTTGTTGTAGTTTTTCAAGTTAGTTAGACACAAGGTATCATGGAATCTCAAGATACTTTTATCTAATATCTCCTATGTTTTACTTTACAACCTTGGATACAAAGTTACTCATGTCATTTCATAGTCCCTTTATCTCAAGCCACATGTGTAAATATTTGTTCACTTCAGAGAAATTTATTGAGCATCTTAATGTACTATGCTTTGTGGTAAATATTGGAATACAAGATGAAAATGCCTAACCCAGGAATTTTTATTTTAGTATTTTAATGAATGTCTACAGATCATAATTGGTATTCTTCTTGTCACTGTTTTACTCCAAGAACTCTTTCTACTCCTTCGGTATTCTCTACCTAGGACTTTTTTCTATTCCTTATGTCAGTTACCTGTACCAGAACCTATCTCTTAGTAGCTAGTACCCTAAACTTTTCTGGGTTAGGCAGAGAAGTGGCCATGGCCATTTGACTATCAGAACATTAAGTTTTACCCACTCCAAATGCTGTCAGAATTTAGGATTCTAGACAGTGGCCTAAGTCAAGCCTGACAATTACCTTCTAGATCTCAATGTTAGAATATCTTTTCCATCCTAATTCCACTTTTTTTGTCATCCTAATTCCACTTTTCCCAGTATCAAGGCAACCTCTATATGAAAAGATATTTTTGCTATTTCTCTTATTTGGAGCTATACCTCCTTTGATATACTGCGTAGATCATGGAAAAAAGCTTACTGAGGATAAACATTAAAAGTCATAAATTAGTGGGTGGTGTAAGAAGATCACAAGTTGAAGCACAGCTTGGGCAACTTAGCACGACCCTGTCTCAAAAACCTGCATGAAATGTGCTGGGGCTGTAGCTCAGTATTAAGAACTGTATTCAATCCCTGGTACTCCCCCTGCCAAAAGAAAGTCCTAAATTACCTGAATTTTATCTATAGAGAATTGAGAAAACCATATTTCTTCACCTTTTCAAGGTAAATCATTCTTTTTTTGTCTTTCCTTGGATCTATAACTGATCTCAAGGCCTTCATGTCTTAGCATATCCTTCTAATCAGTTAGCTGTAGAAAGTAAATAAACAAAAGACACCACAGAAAAGTCATTGTGGACATTCAAGGCTATTCTGTCTTAAGAAGATAAAAGTCAAAATTTAAGATTACCAAAAATTGCATTTTTAATTAATTTTTATAAGATACTATAACAGGAAATATGAAAATGTCAACTTTATCAAATGTTTTCAGTAATTTTTCTGTTTATGGTATATCTTAAAACATTTAATACACTAAGAAATATCACAACCTGGACAGTAGTATCTGGTCTGTTTTCAAATTAGTTTCATATTATTGGCTTTCTTTGAACAGCACACATGTTGGCCTTTCCTTTTTTCTGTGGATGGTATAATTTCAATAAAATATCTACCCACACTAAATGTATTAGTGAAGATGTCAATGATGGATGTCCTGGTTGACATTTTGCTGTCCCATATTTTTCAATTATTTGGTCTGTTATACCTACTCTAAATGGTAAATAACTCTTTGAACCCTCTTGTTTTGCACAAATAATGAACAAGTTCCATATTATTTGGACCAGAAGGTGCATATATATATTTTATAATAATATTTTCCTCACTTTTTGATTACAGGACAGTTTGTTAGGTATTGGCTAACTCTGTTAACATCACCAATTTAATTATTATAATTATTAACGACTATTGGAAGTTTTTAAGTTTTGTTCTTTCAAGTTCTATTATTTCTGTGTTATGAGTAGTTGACAGTAAACAGACATCTTTTTTGTCTTTCCATTTCATAACACAGACGTTTCTTCTCTGATATGCTGACATTTCTCCCTTTTTGAGTTTTTTCTTTTGCAGATCTTTTGGCACTTCCTTCCTACTCAGTCTCAGTGTCCCAAACGTGTCCATTTTATACTGTAAAAGAAAATCACTGAGTTTTGGAGAAGTATAAAAGTTATATTTATGATAAGAGTTTTTATATATTGTAGCACAAAATTATACGTTATTTTTCACAAGTAAAAGGAATACAAATTAGTGAAAGAAAATAATCAGAACTTATTAGATTTCACTAGAAACAAACATCAAAGTCAAATACAGTGTTCTTAATTTTAAAAAGCCTGCAAAAGATAGTTGATATAAAACAAATAAAAAGATGTACAAGTGCGTCTGTGTAAACAAAGAATGAATGGGTTGAAATGACACCTGCCAGGGCAACACTTAGGATAACCAGTATGTAAGCAACTGTGCTGCCCGAGTGAAGCTCGGGTTAAACTGTTGAGTGTTAACTTTCCTGATTGGCTTTTTCATTATAGTTTATCAAGAAGACTAGACTAAGTCTTGAATGTGATTTCCATTTCATATATTTTTATTGAGTATCAACTGTGTGCTAGATCTGGGGTGATAAATATGAATCTGATTTCTATTATATTTTGAAGATTTATTTTTAAACTATTTAAATGAAGTGTAAAACAAGTGTAAAATGGATGTGTAAATATTGAAGTCTTAAATATCTTATTAATTAAAAGAATTCCATGACCTTTTCTTTCCTTGATTCACTCAATATTGATTGTATGCTCATTATTCCCTTTCTCTCTATTCTGCAAACTTTCCTTTCTTTTTGCCTACCATTAAATGTTTACTGAGTAGTTACAATGGACATGTAACTATGAAAGGCATTAAATATATTAGTGATCAAGAGCGATATGTTTATTCTTCTCATAGGTTATAGTCTATTAAACTAAACATTAAATATGTAACTCCAATAAAATTTCATAACTTAGAATTGGGACAATTCAGTCAATGCACTGTGGAAACTATTCAATATGTTATATAGTGTTTAAGACTTCATCTCCTGCAAGAATAAGAGATTTTCCTAGGAAGTATTATTTATACTGAGAACTGCAACATGAATAACAAGTGGGGTGTGAATGAAGTAACAATATATTTAAAGGCCCAAAATGGGAAGAGAACATTACGTATTTGATGATCAAAGGCCAACGTAATTGAAGCATTTAATTGTAATGGAAGTCTGAAAAGACTCAATGCATGGAGGTCACTAAAGGCCCTAGTGAATGCACTTTTAGTGGGGTGGTACACTGTATGATTCCAAGCCAGTGTGTGTGTGTGTGTGTGTGTGTGTGTGTGCATGCATAGTGAGTTAGGAAATGGTGAAGGCATGAAGAAATGAAGACAATAAAGTGATAGTTCTTTTAAACATATGGATACAAAATAGAGGAAAGAGATATAGGCCCATGGAATAGATAGTAATAGGTACAGTTTTAACACTTGTTAAGTGCAGTACAAGTATATACACATGGCAATGAATTAATACTTTCTATCACTTTTAATATACTGATAAATGTGAGCCTTGATTCTTTCAAAAATCTTAACATTTTTAATGATGTCTTCTTTGAAATAAAGGGCTTTATTTTGTTATTACAAAAATATTTCACTTAAAATTATAAATTACTGAATTAATATTAATTCTTAATTAATTAAGATTTTGTTTTAGTGCATGGTGAAAGATAGGAGTCTAGTTTTAATCTTTGGTAAGTTGAAGTCCAGTTTTTCCAACACCATTGATTAAAGAGGCTGTCTTTCCTCCAGTGAGGCTAGTTGGCTCCTTTGTCAAAGACGAAGTAGCTAAGTATGTATGGTGTTATTGCTGCATCTTCAAATCTATTCCACTGATCCTCAGGTCTGTTTCTTTGCCGCCAGTACTATGCTGTTTTTACCACATCGAGAATGTACTCTTAAGTGAAATTAACAGTACACACATGTGTAAATACTGCATATTTTCTCTGGTGTGGTAAGCTAAAAGTATAAATAAGGATCAAAATGTATAATTGATATTGAATAATAGGAAGAAAAAGTCTAAAAGAGTAGAGGAAGTGGGAGGGATAGGGGAAAGGTAAGAAGGGAAAAGAAAAAAATAAGAGAAAAGGAAAAAAATGGAAACAAAGTCTGTAGATAGGAAAGGATGGAGGGGATGAAGGGAGGTCAGGGGAAGGAGGAAAAAATAAGAACCAAGATACATCATGTATAGGTACAAGATCCCAGTGATTATTGTCACTGTATTTTATACCTAAAATATACCAATAAAAATATTGAAGACATAATGAAGAAAAGGTAAGACATTATACACTCTGGTTCTGGGACAAGATATAGTAGAAGCACTTCTCTCTATTTCTCTTACACCTAAAAATAGTCTGCCTCATTAAATGTCAAATACAGAAATATTTGAAAGGTGGAAAGAAGGAGTGGCTAGGCTTCTCAGGACCTAAGAAATAGTACGGTGTAAAGTACTTTGGCTTCCATTTTGCCTCATATATGATATAATGGTTGCTGGAGAAGTTGGTGGCCTGGAAATGCCAATGAACACAGACAAAATGTGGCTTTCAAAAGTCTTTTCTTGTTAAACAAAGCACCAGGAAAAGGATGGTCTGTCAGAACAGATTGTTGTGAGTCAGTAATCACCTATTCCAGTCAAATACCATTAAAGAAACTACTTCTACTTCTACTTTCACCAAAAAGGCTGAGTGGGAACTTTAGACTTACATCTTTTCTCTTGAGTGATGCCAGAGACATTGTAGAAAATAGGAATTTTTTCTATTTGGTGATAATGAATCCTTTCCTCCCCTTTATGATGTCACAATATATGGGGAAATCTGAAGTTATACCATCTACTCAAATATAAGCTGAGAGAAGCATAATGCAGAAAAAAGAAGACAGAATAATTGAAGATGGAATGATAGAAATGACCCAGGTTCAACAATAGAGAAAAGAACGGACAGCATGCTTTTGCATGAACAAGAGACTTGGAAACCTGTGGGACTATAATCAAAGATCCTACATTCATATTATTTGGGTTTCAGAAGGAGAGGAGAAAGAGGGTGAGATTGAAAAATAATGTTTATGAGAGCTGAAATCTTCCCAAATTTGGCAAAAGACATAAACTTACAGATTTGAGATCCTAAGTGAACTCCAAATAGGAATAACTCAGGGTAATCTGTGTCAAGAAATGTCATATTAAAATTTCTGAAAACCGAGGACCAGACAAATAAATGTAAAAACAGTGACAGAAAGGTTAAAAATAGAGAAAAATTAAGTATATCAGAATTCACATCAGAAACTAGGTAAATACTGCACAATGTTTTGAAATGCTGTAAGTATAAAAAGCACTAATGGGGAATTCTGTACTTAGAAAAATATTATTCAAACTTTAAGGATAATTAATACATTCTAGAAGAAAGAAAATAAAGTATTTGTTCCTACCAAACCTATTCTAAAGAATGTCTATAGAAAATTCTTGGTACAGAAAGGACATATTGAAGATACTTGGAATTTTAGGAAGAAACAACAACCAAAAAGAGTAAAAAATATAGGCCAATACAATAGAATTTTCTTCTATCTTGTGTTCTCTAAATATGTCTGATGTTGAAACAAAAATTACAACAGTTTGATATGATTCTTAACGTATGGTAGCAAAAATACTTAACAGAATTACACATGAAAAAGTAAAAGGACTTAAAGTGAGGAAAGGTTTCTGTACCTCACTAAAACTGGTAAATGTTAACACCAGTAGCAGATGACAATAATTATTATATATATAGTGTAATAGGGCTATAATTTGGATCTGGAATGCTCTCCAAAGGCTCATGTTTTAAAAGCTGTGTCCCCAGCTTATTCAGAACTTCAAAACAGTGGAAACTTCAAAAGATAGGGTTTAGTGGGAGATCTTCTGGTTGTTGGAGGCATGCCCTTAAAAGTGACTGTGAGGCCTCACCTCATTTATCTTCATCTCTCTTTTCTTAGCAATGAACTATATATTATTGTCTGCCATGTGCTCTCTATACTGCCATCTAGAATCCTCAGTAGAGACCTAAAACCAATGGGTCTGATTGATCATGGATTTAAATCTCCAAAATTACAAGCCAGAATAAAGCTTTTCTCTTTATAAATTTATTGTCCTGGGTGTTATCATAGTGACAGAAAGATACTTAACACAAATAGGATGATGAGGGAGATTGGTATGACCATAATGGTCAGACAAACATCTGAGAGACAGTTGTGTTTCTGGGCTAATTATGTATCTTGATTGTCATGATGGTTAAATGTGACAAAAGGCATAGAATTACACACACACAGACACACAAAGTACCAATGTAAATTTCCTTGTTTGGATATTGAACTATTCTTATAAAAGATTAAGCTTCAAGGAAACTTCAGAGGGACTAGGTAAAAGGGCACTGTTAAGTTTTTTTGTAAATTCATGTGATTCTATAATTTTGTGAAACAAAACTTAAAAAAAATGTTACTTAGCCTCTGCTCTACAAAATGGCCCAAAAATATAAGAACATTTAAAAATTTGTCAAAAATCTCAGAGGATTCATGACTTAGCAGAAATTGAATGAGGGTTAAGGGAAAATATGAGGAGGAGATTTTTAAAGCCATTAATATAATGAAAGGAAAATCTCAAAAAGTCATCCAGAAGGGATAACGTAACACAGAGAAAGAGAAATGTAGATGTAGAAATGGTAGTGGAGTGGGAGAGACATGAAGTTCACCTCTGGGTCTTCCATGAGCTCATGGAAGATGTCAGCATAAATACCTTAATCTCCTGTACCACCATTAATTCATGCAGTACACAGCTAGGTCAGCCACCCCAGGTAGCTTTCACACTGGGCTGCCAGAAGAGTTCTTGTTCCATGTCTGGAAGAAACCCAGGGAAGATTCAGGGCATCCTTTCCTATTTCCTTCAGAGCACTTGTGATTTTTGTCTACTGTGCTTATCAGTGATCTGAACAAAATTGTTTATTTATTTATTTATTTATTTATTTATTTTTGTACTGGGGATTGAACTCAGGACCTTGGGCTTGCAAGGCAGATGGTGGCACCACTGAGCTAAAGCCTTGGCCCGAAAATTCTGTGTGTGTGTGTGTGTGTGTGTGTGTGTGTGTGTGTATTTTAATTATATATACATATATTTATTTATTATCCACAGTCTTTCTGATGAAGAAATGGAAACTAGAATAAGACATATGATTTATAATCATACAGCAAACAAATAATAATCTTGGGCCTCCATGGGACTGACTTACAGCCCTACCACTTTGCCTAGTGTTGCCATATTGCCTCCTTTTTTTCTTCATCTAAGAAGAGGAGCTGAAATTGACAGCTTGGTGCAAGGACAAAAGCAGTGATTTACATCAAAAGGTCAAACCCAGATTCACAACTCAGCACCTGCCCTGGAGCAACCAGAAGAAAAGGTGCATTACTTAACTTCAGTAATACAGACACTGTGCTATCTTGCTGTTTGGATTCCCTATAACTTTTAAATGAGGAAGGCCACGGTGAAACTGAAGAGACCCAGCATGGCAAATGGGGTTGTTATCATCTATATCCCAAAAAGGACCATCCTTAGTGATCACCTAACCCAGTGACCTCACTTTGCACACAAAGAAACATAGGACAATATAAATATTTGTATGAGGACTCTAAGTACTATGCAAGAATTAGATTTCAACCCAGGCCTTTGTCTCACAATATGAAACAATCACATAATATTTTGTTAAAAACTATTTTACATCATGATATCCTCACAATAGCTCTTAAAGTCAGAAATCATCACCTTCATTTTACAAGTAAGTAAACCAAGGCTCCAAGAAGGATCTCACAAGTACCCTGGCAGAGGCAGGACTCTATCCTAGATCTTTGTGACCCTTAGCCATACCATTTCCATTAACTACTCCTAATTTGTATGGTGATCTACTTACTGTCTTTGTTTGCTTGGAAGTATATGGAATTTCTGGGATGTAAGAAGTAAGGCTTTACTTTTAAATTGGGAATTTTCTGAGAAAAACCAAGACAAATTACTTACTGAACTCCTGAGTGAGAAGGCAGAAATAAAAGACTCAGGGAAGTAGTACTCAGAGACAAAATAGTAAAAAAGATCTTGTGTTAACCCAGAGATGATAAAAATCAAAGGCCAGAAAAAACAAACCAGCATATTCCACTAATACTCTAATCAGTTTCATTATTAACACTACTATGACTATCAATTACCCTTGAACATTTTCATATAAAATTATAGTACTGGGCTTGGGATTTAGCTCAGTGGTGCAGTTGCATGCCTCACAAGTACAAGGACCCGAGTTTGATCCCTGGTACCAAAAACAAAACAAAAAACTATAAAAGATAAAATTAGAGTATAGAGAGCTGTATTTCATTTGGGTTAAATTTAAATATTTTTACCACAGCTCATGGATTGCTAAGAAAAATTGAAGATTTACATGAAAATTTATAATGGAATTATATTCAAATATAGTGCTACTATTGTAAGAGTTGGCAAATGTAATAGAAAAAAGATCAAAAGTAGAAATATAAAAACCTGAGCCTTAGTCCTGAAAAATTCTGAGAATTAAATGATAAAAAAATCTACCTCATAGAGAAATATCTGTGTATAAATATATTCAGTGTACATTACTTATAATGACAAAAACAAACCAGTTAAAGTATCTAAAACTAAGGAAATAATGAAGTAAATTATGGTCAATCAATGATATAATATTATGCATCCATTAAAAATAGTCTCTAGGGGTTTGTAACAATATGACAAATGCTGGTCGTGAGTAAAATTAAAAAGGCCAGGAAACTTTATGTAATTGTTTTATTGTAGGGCACTTACAAATATATTAGACAGACACACATAATATACTGTCACCTGATGTTTTTGAATGGTAGGATTACGGTAGATTTGATTTCTTTATAGATTTTTTAAAAGTTTAAAAATTCTATAATTACTTTTATATTTGTGAAAAATCAAGGTGGTATTTAAAATAAAGTGATAATTTGTTAAGAAATTTTGAAAAATCGTTTGTAATATGATTTGGAGAAAGTCATGTTACTTTTCCAGAACTCAATTTCCTCATCTCAAAAAAATTGATGAAATATACTCTATGTTTCTGACTAGTCAGGTTATTATTGAGATCATTAGAGATAGAATGAGAAAATGAGAAACCTTAGGAAGATTTGCAGTAAGAATCTGACCACAAATCAGATTCTTACTAATAACTGAGACGGATGGACATGTACCCTTATCAGTTACCTATGGTGTTGGTGTGCTGGAGCTCATCCTGCTCGCTTGTAGGAACTAATTATTACATTTTTAGTAATTCTGTGAGTTAATTATAAAATCATTGGTAGCTGGACATCATTACACATCTATAAATCAGACCTTTACATGACTATAAGCCAAAAATCCAAAATAAAATTTTTATAGATTAAACTTTGGAAGGTAACAAGGAAGAAAATTCTGTGGTAAAACTGACTGAAAAGCTCCAGACTACATTCCTAACTTTGGTCATGGGATCTTTGTTAGCATTCATGACTCGGGCATTGGAAAATTAGAGTTGAGGAAGAAGATCCCCAAGCCGGAAGCGCTAGAGGATGCTAAAAAATTCCCTCGCTAGCTGAGGTTCACATCTTCTACATCTGTAGAGATAGTTCTACATCCTAAAGTGGTGTCCTCACTTCCTGAAGGTATTACAGGCTGAAAAAATAAATAGGAACGTATATATTCTGATATTCA